AGAATTTAACTTGTTACAATTCTAAAATGAAAGAATATGGCGTAGACTTTTTTGGCTGAGAGGTTCTGTTGCTGATTCAGCTGGTGTTTGTACTTTACAAACTGTCTTACTAAAAAGGAAGTTTGAATTTTGTTGTTTTGTGGGGGGTAGCTATATCTGTGAAACTTAAGTTTGTGAACAAAGAGTGCCAATCAATTAATTAGTAACTGATGTAGAAAAAAAATTAGAACTCTCTTCTCCCTGAGTTCTATCTACTACATTTTTAACTAAGAACTCATGCCCCTACCACTTAGAACTGTTTTTGTCCTGGAAAAAAAACCCTGCATCAGAAGTTGTCATGTGGGATAGCCCTTAGCATTCTTGTCCACGTTTAGCCTCTACTTTTGTTGAGGAAGAAATTGATATGACCTTCCATTTGCATTCTTACAGACAGTGTATTGCAGATGGGATGAGCTACTGGGGTGGGAGGGATAGCTCAGTGATTTGAGAATTGGCCTGCTAAACCCAGGGTTGTGAGCTCAATCCTTGAGGAGGCCACTTAAGGATCTGGGGCAAAATCAGTACTTGGTCCTGCTAATGAAGGCAGGGGGCTGGACTCGATGACCTTTCAAGGTCCCTTCCAGTTCTAGGAGATAGGATATCTCCATTTATTTATTTATTTACTTTTTCAGGGCTGTGATCCTGAAAGAAAACTGGTACTCTTTAACTGTGCTTTCTATATAAGCTTCAGAAGACCATAACTGTCTAAGTACCATCTTTGTTTCAGACTACATTGTTTTGAATGCCACTGAATTGACTTAGGAAGACCTATTATGTTGAAGAAAAATAGATGTTTAAGTGATATAAACAAAATGGATTAAGGTGTCTAATCTTCTCCCATGAAGATAAATAGTATGCATTAATAACTCAAATCTTTCAAAGGTAATGGCCTTGCCTTTTCTAATTTCTTCACATGCTCAAGAGCTTTCTGCCTACTAGGCAGAGCAGGCCATTGTCAGTTTCTGATATTCAGACTGCTGTCTGGACCTACAGAACCTTTTCTCATAATCTTCAGAATCTTGCTTGGTATAATAACCTTCTGAAAAACATAACCTGTTTTTGTGAGAGTTTAACTTTTCATAGAGCAGCATAGAGGAGCAATAAGAATATTGAATTCATATGTAAATGCAATGTTTTGTTTACTCGGTCTTCAGTATCTTTCTCCCTGCTTTCTCTTCCTGAACAAAAGTACAGGTACAGTACTTTGTTACTCATAATCCTAATACAGTGTTATTGGGGGAAGGGATAGCTCAATGGTTTGAGCATTGGCCTGCTAAACCCAGGGTTGTGAGTTCAATCCCTGAGGGGGCCATTTGGGGCAAAAATCTGTCTGGGGGTTGGTCCTGCCTTTGTAAGGGGGGAGGGATAGCTCAGTGGTTTGAGCATTGGCCTGCTAAACCCAGGGTAGTGAGCTCAATCCTTGAGGGGGCCACTTAGGGATCTGGGGCAAAATCAGTACTTGGTCCTGCTAGTGAAGGCAGGGGGCTGGACTCGATGACCAGTCCATCTCCAGTTCTAGGAGATACGATATCTTCTTTAATTTAATTTTAATTTAATTTAATTTATTTTAATTTAATTTTAATTGACCCTTTTCAAGGTTTAGTTGGACTACAAATTTTTGAAAATTATCATTTTATGTTGCTTAGTAGGCCTCTGTTCTACTTTACTGAATTTTTGTAATGAACTTGTACATTTTAGTTTATCAACAACTATAATATTTTCCCCACAAACTGTCCTACTTCAGCAAGGTAATCAAAATCTTTAGCATATGGTTATCTTTTTATAGCCATGTAATGAATCTGCTTCTGAATGGTCCACTGATTAAAATATGCCTCAAAAATGGTCATATTGCATATTGTAGGGAAACTGATTATATAAAAACATTTCCTTCAGTGTAGAATCTGTCCTCCAGGCTATTGCTCTCAAAAGCCAAATGAAAGAGCATCAACTTCTGAAACCTTAGTCGTTCCTGAAAGATTAAGTAAAGTTTTTCAGCAACTGAATTATCTACAGTTTGGCCAGAATTGCAGCTGGAAAGAAAAATGGCCTTCAGGCATCAGGAGGAGGAAAAGGACAATCATGTTAACCACTCAAGAAATCAGTAGTCCCTATTAAAACCAAGGACCATTTGGCTGCCAAGTTGTTGCTTTAAAATCCTAGCCCCTATTCGCTACCATGTTAAACAATAAACAAAGTAAAAAGCAGTGTGTGGCAAAAAAATCATCCTTTTAAAAAGTTCAAGTTAAATCCTATTGAGGAAAATAGAAAGAAGCATAAACTCTCTAGTAAATGAAGTGTAAAAATATAATTAGGAAGGCCAAAAAAGAATTTGAAGAACAGCTAGCCAAAGAGTCAAAGTAAGGCAAAAAAAAATTTCTACACATCAGAAGTAGGAAGCCTGCTAAACAACCAGTGGGGGCCACTGGGTGATTGAGATGCTAAAAGAGCACTGAAGGAAGGTAAGGCGATTGCGAAAAGCTAAAAACTCTTTGCATCGGTCCTCATGGCTGAGCATGTGAGTCAGATTCCCAAACTTGAGCCATTATTTTTAGGTGACAAATCTGAGGAACTGTCCCAGATTGAGGAGTCGGAGGAGATTTTGGAACAAATTGATAAATTAAACCGTTATCTGACCTCTTGATGAAATCTTGGTGTCATAAGGAATTCAACTATGAAATTGCACAGCTACTAACTGTGGTACGTCACCTATCGCTTAAATCAGCTTCCGTACCGTATGACTGGAGGATAGCAAATATGAGTCATTTTTTAAAAAGGCTCCAGAGGCTATCCTGGCAATTACAGGCCGGTAAGCCTAACTTCAGTACCTGGCAAATTGGTTGAAACTGTAGTAAAGATCAGAATTATCAGACACCTCGATGAACACAATGTGTTGGGGAAGAGTCAACATGTTTTTTGTAAAGGGAAATCATGCCTCACCAATCTACTAGAATTCTTTGAGGGAGTCAACAAACATGTGGACAAGGGGGATCCCATGGATATAGTTATTTAGATTTTCAGAAAACCTTTGACAAAGTCCCTCACCAAAGGCTCTTAAGCAAAGTAAGGTATCATGGGATAAGAGGGAAAGTCCTCTCATGGATTAGGAACCAGTTAAAAGATAAGACACAAAGGGTAGGAATAAATGGTCAGTTTGTCAGAATGGAGAGAGGTAAATAATGGTGTCCCTCAGGGGTTTGTACTGGGACCAGTACTGTTCAGCATATTTGTAAATAATCTGGAGAAAGGGCTAAGCAGTGCGGTGGCAAAGTTTGCAGATGATACAAAAGTACTCAAGATGGTTAAGTCCAAAGCAGACTGTGAAGAATTACAAAGGAATCTCACAAAACTGGGTGACTTTGTAACAAAATGGCAGATGAAATTCAATGTTGATAAATGCAAAGTAATGCAAATTGGAAAATACAATCCAACTATACATAGAAAATGATGGGGTCTTAATTAGCTGTTACCACTCAAGAAAGAGGTCTTGGAGTCCTTGTGAATAGTTCTCAAACATCCACTCAGTGTGCAGCGGCAGTCAAAAAAGCTAACAGTGTTGGAAATCATTAGGAAAGGTATAGTAAGACAGAAAATATCATTGCCTCTATATAAATTCATGGTACACCTACATCTTGAATACCAGCCTAATTTGTAATACATATAGGAAACCATACTAGACATTATAAATTATCCTAAAACAAAAGGGTGACAATCAGTCATAAGGATTGTTCTGGTCTGTCATTTCTTTCTGCTATTCAAAAAGGGTGGCTGGCAGGATGAAATCAAATCATACATTACTTCTCATAGTAGAATTATAAAATCCTGCTCCTACACAGGATTTGCACATTGAATCCTTACATTATTTTTCATTTTCTTTTAATAAGAACAAGCATCCTCCCCTAAACTTATAGCATGTAATCTGAGGAAAGACAACTTTCTGAAGACTTTCAAGTAAATGTTAATTAGTTCATGAATTTAGTTCTTTTACAAAGTGAAAGGAAGCAATATTAACTGTCTAATCTGTTCCTCCCCACCTCCCTCCTCATTTTAGGCATATTGTGCCCTTCTTCCTTCACATGTCTGTTCGTTCCTGCTCTGTCACTATGGCTACTGGAAGTATGTGGGTGTCAGCTATTCACAACTGTGAAATATGAGGCAGGATGGAGAGGAGAGGGTGTGTCATTTGATTCTTTTCCATCAATGAGAGGAGGGCTACACTCTCACCATCGCTTGTCTCCACCAGTGTCAAAGGAGTGATCCAGCAACTCATTCCAGTTTTTGGGCTATTGGTGGCTTTTTTTTCTTCTTCCTCTTCTCATCCCTTCTGTGATGGAAGGGCTCAGTCTCAGTGACAGAATTATATTTTTGTGGTCTGAAGCCTTGAGGAAGGAGAAGGTGCTGGCTATTGAAATTTTCTGTCCTATATCCCCTTCCTCCCTAATAACTCCTGACAGCATATTGGCAATAGGATACTAGTTTTCAAAAGAACTGATGGTTGGAGTCTGATTTATTTGTACGTCAAACATATATTCAGTAATTACTGATGGTTTATTTTGTAGGGGAAAAAAAGTCTTGTGACATAATAGCTCTAAAGATCACATGACTGACAACATATGTAGGAATAATTGCAGATAATTTGATCATATAATTGCATGACATTTGAAAACCTGCATTACCAGTTATTATGACTTATTGTTGAGATCTGACAGGTTTCTCTTAATGGTTGATGTGTAATAAATGTCTTATCTAGCCAGCAAATGACTAGACTCACTGCAATCTCAGCCCACTTGTTCTAAAGGTAAATTATCAGAATGACACCTTTTTTTTAGTTGGGATGAGAGGAAATGGTGAAGATCTAAGACATTTTGATTACTTTACCAGTTAATTTTTAGCTGTTGTGGTGTAACAATGTAAACCAACACAACTTGGATTTAATTTTTTGTCTGCTTTTTTTCTCTCCTCAGCTTTGTATTCCATCATATTGTTCTGTGTGTTTTTGTGGATCCCTTTTGTCTATTTCTATTATGAGGAGAAGGATGAAGATGATACCAGCACATGCTCAGTAAGTTCATTTATGCCACACCTAGCTTTGACTTGTTTCTTAAGGTCTGAATGCAGTAGCCAGATAATAATGAAGTCTAACATCTGTTCTGCTTCAACTGTTCAGAGTACCTTTTGTTGAACCATTATCTCTGATCTTAATTTTAAACAAAATAAGTAGGGCTGTCAAGTGATTAATAAAAATTAATCGCACAAATAAACAATAGAATACCTTTTATTTAAATATTTTTGGATGTTTTCTACGTTTTCAAATATATTGATTTCAATTACCACACAGAATACAAAGTGTACAGTGCTCACTTTCTATTTATTTTTATTACAAATGTTAGCACTGAAAAGAAATAGTATTTTTCAATTCCATCATTATAATTACTGTAGTGCAATCTCTTTATCATGACCGTTGAACTTACAAATGTCGAATTATGTACAAAAAAATTACTGCATTCAAAAACAGAACAGTGTAAAACTTTAGAGCCTACAAGCACTCAGTCCTACTTCAGCCAATTGCTCAGACAAACAAGTTTGGTTACAATTTGCAGGAGATAATGCTGCCCGCTTTTTGTTTACAACATCACCTGAAAGCAAGAACAGGCATTCTCATGGGATTGTAGTAGCCGGCATCAGAAGATATTTATGTGCCAGATGCACTTAAGATTCGTATGTCCCTTCATGTTTCTACACCATTCCAGAGGACATGTGTCCATAATGATGAAGGGTTCTGCTCAATAACGATCCAAAGCAGAGCGTACCGACGCATGTTCGTTTTCATCAATTGAGTCAGATGCCACCAGCAGAAGGTTGATTTTCTTTTTTGGTGGTTCGGGTTCTGTAGTTTCCGCATTGGAGTGTTGCTCTTTTAAGACTTTTGAAAGAATGCACCATGCCTCATCCCTCTCAGATTTTGGGCGATACTTCAGATTCTTAAATCTTGGGTCGAGTGCTGTAGTTATTTTTAGAAATCTCACATGGCACCTTCTTTGTGTTTAGTCAAATCTGCTGTGAAAGTGTTCTTAAAACTAACAAGTGCTAGATCATCATCCGACACTGTTATAATATGAACTATATGGCAGAGTGTGGGTAAAACCGAGCAGGAGTCCTACAGTTCTACGCCAAGGAGTTCAGTCACTAATTTAATTAACGCATTTTTTTTTTTTAATGAGCATGGAAGCATGTCCTCTGGAATGGGTGCTGAAGCATGAAGGGGCACATGAATGTTTAGCATATCTGGCACGTAAATATCTTGCAACGCCAGCTACTACAGTGCCATGCGAATGCCTGTTCTCACTTTCAGGTGATGTTGTAAACAAAAAGCGGGCAGTATTATCTCCTGCAAATTGTAACCAAACTTGTTTGTCTGAGCAATTGGCTGAAGTAGGACTGAATGGACTTGTAGGCTCTAAAGTTTTACACTGTTTTGTTTTTGAGTGCAGTTATGTACCAAAAAATAATCTACATTTATAAGTTACACTTTCATGATAAAGAGATTGCACTATAGTACTTGCCTGAGGTGAGTTGAGAAATACTATTTTATCATTTTTACAGTGCAAATATTTATCAAAAATAATATAAAGTGAGCACTGTACACTGTATCCTGTGTTGTAATAAAAATCAATATATTTGGAAATGTAGAAAAACATCCAAAAATATTTAATACAGTTCAATTGGTTTTGTGTTTAACAGTGTGATTAATCACGTGAGTTAATTGCGATTGACAGCCCTAAAAATAAAACATACACTGACATTCAAGTCTTTAATTTGAAGAAGTTGGTGGTTACTTCTGTTACAAGAAACATAGTAGACTTCTTTAAAAATATGCTAAATTAAGGAGTCCATTTGAGTTGCAATATTAATACTTAGTTTAATGTTAATTATCCATGATATGCCCTCCACAGTGCTCCATTGTAGCAGTCACATTTTAGCAGAATGTCAGGCAGAAGGACAACAAGGAGTCTGGTGGCACCTTAAAGACTAACAGATTTATTTGGGCATAAGCTTTCGTGGGTAAAATCCTCACTTCTTCAGATGCATAGAGTGAAAGTTACAGATGCAGGCTTTATATACTGACACATGAAGAGCAGGGAGTTACTTCGCAAGTGGAGAACCAGTGTTGACCGGGCCAATTCAATCAGGGTGGATGTAGTCCACTCCCAATAATAGATGAGGAGGTGTCAATTCCAGGAGAGGAAAAACTGCTTCTGTAATGAGCCAGCCACTCCCAGTCCCTATTCAAACCCAGATTAATGGTGTTAAATTTGCAAATGAATTTTAGTTCTGCTGTTTCTCTTTGAAGTCTGTTTCTGAAGTTTTTTTGTTCAATGATAGTGACTTTTAAATCTGTAATAGAATGACCAGGGAGATTGAAGTGTTCACTTACTGGCTTATGTATGTTACCATTCCTGATGTCCGATTTGTGTCCATTTATTCTTTTGCGGAGGGACTGTCCGGTTTGGCCAATGTACATGGCAGAGGGGCATTGCTGGCACATGATGGCATATATAACATTAGTAGATGTGCAGGTGAATGAGCCCTTGATGGTGTGGCTGATGTGGTTGGGTCCTCTGATGGTGTCGCGAGAGTAGATATGGGGACAGAGTAGGCAACGAGGTTTGCTACAGGGATTGGTTCCTGGGTTGGTGTTTCTGTGGTGTGTAGTTGCTGGTGAGTATTTGCTTCAGGTTGGGGGGTTGTCTGTAAGCGAGGACTGGCCTGCCTCTCAAGGTCTGTGAGAGTGAGGGATCATTTTCCAGGATAGGTTGTAGATCGTGGATAATGCGCTGGAGAGGTTTTAGCTGGGGGCTGTATGTGATGGCCAGTGGTGTTCTGTTATTGTCCTAGTTGGGCCTGTCCTGTAGTAGGTGATTTCTGGGTACCCATCTTGCTCTGTCAATCTGTTTCCTCACTTCCCCAGGTGGGTATTGTAGTTTTACGAATGCTTGATAAAGATCTTGTAGGTGTTTGTCTCTGTCTGAGGGGTTGGAGCAAATTCGGTTGTATCTTAGGGCTTGGCTGTAGACAATGGATCGTGTGATGTGTCTTGGATGGAAGCTGGAGGCGTGTAGGTACGTATAGCGGTCAGTAGGTTTCCGGTATAGGGTGGTGTTTATGTGACCATCACTTATTTGCACTGTAGTGTCCAGGAAGTGGATCTCTTGTGTGGACTGGTCCAGGCTGAGGTTGATGGTGGGGTGGAAATTGTTGAAATCCAGGTGAAATTCTTCAAGGGCCTCCTTTCCGTGGGTCCATATGATGATGTCATCAATGTAGCGCAAGTAGAGGAGGGGCACTAGGGGACGAGAGCTGAGGAAGCGTTGCTCTAAGTCAGCCATAAAAATGTTGGCATACTGTGGGGCCATGCGGGTACCCATAGCAGTGCCACTGACTTGAAGGTATAAGTTGTCCCCAAATCTGAAGTGGTTATGGGTGAGGACAAAGTCACAAAACTCAGCCACCAGGCGTGCTGTGGCCTCATCAGGGATACTGTTCCTGACAGCTTGTAGTCCATCCTCATGTGTAATATTGGTGTAAAGTGCTTCTACATCCATGGTGGCCAGGATGGTGTTTTCAGGAAGAACACCAATGCATTGTAGTTTCCTCAGGAAGTCGGTGGTGTCTCGAAGATAGCTGGGAGTGCTGTAGCGTAGGGTCTGAGGAGAGAGTCCAAATAGCCAGATAATCCTGCTGTAAGAGTGCCAATGCCTGAGATGATGGGGCATCCAGGGTTTCTGGGTTTATGGATCTTGGGTAGCAGATAGAATACCCCTAGTCGGGGTTCTGGGGGTGTGTCCATATAGATTTGTTCCCGTACTGTAGCTGGGAATTTCTTGAGCAGATGGTGTAGTTTCTTTTGGTATTCCTCAGTGGGATCAGAGGATAGTGGCCTGTAGAATGTGGTCTTGGAGAGTTGCCTGGCAGCCTCCTGTTCATAATCCGACCTGTTCATTATGACTACAGCACCTCCTTTGTCAGCCCCTTTGATGATAATGTCAGAGTTGTTTCTGAGGCTGTGGATGGCATTGCGTTCCGTATGGCTGAGGTTATGGGACAAGTGATGTTGTTTGTCCACAATTTCAGCCTGTGCACGTCTGTGGAAGCACTCTATGTAGAGGTCCAGTCTGTCACTTTGACTGTCAGGAGGAGTCCACGCAGAGTTCTTCTTCTTGTAGTGTTGGTAGGAGGGTTCCTGTGGGTCAGTGCACTGTTCAGTGGTGCGTTGAAAATATTCCTTGAGTCGGAGACGACGAAAGTAGGCTTCCAGATCACCGCAGAACTGTATCGTGTTCGTGGGGATGGTGGGACAGAAAGAGAGTCCCCGAGGTAGGACAGACTCTTCTGCTGGCAGAAGGAACAATTCTCTTGGTCCCAACCTTCCCTACACCCAGGGTATAAATACTGTACCCTATAACAGTCTCTCAGGTATTCTGTCCTGAAGCTCTGTTCGTAACTGGGCTCTAAAGTAAAAGAAGAATGGTAAAAATGGCTTTGAGTTCATGTAGTCAGAAAACTAGTTACTTCTCCTAAGGAGGAACATGTCTCTAAGAAGGAACATGTGACAAGAGTGCCATTAAATGAAAACAGGCAGCAGTGCTCTCCTGACACTAGCATTTATTCTGAATGCCACATTAGGAGAATAGTTAATTTAATGAAAATGTCAATCAAACTCCCCATAGCAGTACTAGAGTTCAGATTAGGGCTTGTTGCAGATACATGCTTATATTTGTCACTCTACTTCATAGTACAAGCAGACTGGAGAAGAAAGTTCTGATTAGTCTATTAGTATAGTGCCTTTTTCTCTATTGAATAGCACACCCAAGATGGATGTTCAAGAGGATTTAAAGCAGTGACATTTGGCCAGAGCAGGTTGCCTGAGCATATATTTTGTGTGATAGAGCTTAATTTCATATGGTTATTACCTCTTAACATCTGCCTTAGAGTTAACAAATCGTATAGTTTGAAGTTTGCATTCTTGAAACAAAATCAGTTTTAGTTTTGTTGAACAGTAATATTTTTATAGAAAGCATGTCGCACTAAATATTCTATCCTGTGATTTTATTGGTTAAAAATGCAGATGTTTTATTTGATTTTTTTAAATTTTCAATATAGTAACACTTTGTTTAATTTAAAATACAGCATTTTCAAACTGCACTCAAGTATACTCTGGGATTCCTCATGGTTTGCGCAGTTCTTCTTCTAATTGGGTAAGTATATACTTCATTGAAGTGAAGGTAAAGGAAAAAATTAGATTAATAACTGAAGAGGTAAAGTGAAAAATAGCATCATAAAAAAAAATCCCTATAAGGATTCTGATATCCTGAATCACCAGAGCAAAGCTAGGGTAAGTTATGGTAACATCAGACCCACAATGGAGCCTTTTTTTCTTCTGTTCAGTTTTTTAAATTCTTCATAATATACAGATCTTGGGGGGAGAGAGACTCTCATACTCAAGATTGTCAGGGATGTATCTTAAACATTTGAATCCATTTCTATAGTTGAGGAAAACTATCCAGCTATTTCATGTTGCCTACTGTATTTCGATGCATACACGTAGGAGGAAGAATTAGTTATGCATGCAGCTTTAACTTTGGATTTTTCTGATTTTGTGCTATCTTAAAACTTAATATATTTGTATGAAATATAATGCTTATAATTAGTCTTAAGTTTACATCATAATATACACTATAGGCCATGTAATGAGAATATCTAAACTTCTGTATTTCCTGATTTCCTTTTTAAACCTGTGAAATTCATTTGTGCATTAAGGCCCTAATTTAGGAAGCCATGTGGATGGTGGGCTAAGAGTTTTTTATGCCTGTGCATAAATGCTTTCTGAATTTGGATCGAATAGTTCAGTGTGGGCTTATACTTACGTATGTACATACATAATTGTCTTTTGGTGTAAAGGCTTTATTGGCTTTAGTTTGGGATATATGCATTACTCAAGTAAGGGAATAAGAAATTATTTTCTTTCCCATAAATGATAGTGTTCTGCAGAAATTTAAGCATTATTCCCTGTCCTGTTTGTTTCATCTTTAATAATTAGGTGTATAGTTAGATGCCACCGGACTCCTTGTTGTTTAGGTGTGTATACAGTACTTAATGAAAGAACCTGCCATGGCACATGAACTAAGTAGTGTTTAAATGTTTCTAAAGTATGATGGAACATTCAGTTTCTTTAACTCTGTGTATGGTATCTTCACAGGATGAACCCTACAAAGTGATCCTTGGATGGATAGACAGTAGAATATCAAGTAGAAGTAGATATTAGCACTATATATAAACCTTGTGAGAGAGCACTGTAGTAGAGTCCAGTTCTGATGTGTACATAGCAAAAACTATACTGACCAATTGGAACAAGTGCAGAAAAGAGCTACAATTATTATTTGGAGTTTGGAAAACCTGCTTTACAATGAAACTAATTAAGCTCAATCTATTTAGCTGATTTAAGAGACTGCGAAGAGGTGACAAATTCAGGCTAGATATAAGATGAAAATGTGTGGGTAACTAGCTATTGAAATAACTTAAACTTACCTTTCAGTCTCTTGAAGTCTGCAAGTCAAGAGTGAAGCTTGAATTCAGCTAGAATTTATAGGTTTGATGCAGGAAGTATTGGATTAAATTCTATGGTCTTTTAGTAGGGGTGGCAGAAAGGAGAGGTTATAATTACTGTAGGCACAATGTAGCTTACAGTGGCAGAGCTTAGTTCTGTTATGTCTGGTTAAGTTGCGCTCTTCTGCTATGTGGTCTTCCTTGTGCAACCCGCTTTCAAGCTGCTCCCACAGTCTGCTATATACACTCCTATCTAATCTTCAGGATATCAGTCTGATCCCCTATACCATTTTTGGGGGAAAAGTGTCCTCCAAGTTTACTAAATATCTGTTGGCTAGATTCTGAACTAGATGTTTACCTTTCTAAAATGACCCGTGGCTCAATCTTTTCTATCCAGTTAAATATGGGGGTTACCCAGTAATGAGCTAGCAGGTTCACTGTAGTGTTGGTAAAAGAAAACCGTTCCCACAGTGAGGTATGGCCATAATCCATATTATTTTTAAAATTGTGGCTAATAACCAAATCTGTTAAGAAAATGATTTTTAATTTAAAAGTCAATATTTACTCAGTTATTGATTAGTATCTGATGCAATCAGGGATTAAAGTTGATTAAACATTGGCTGGGGCAATGAGAGTTTCCTCCCAGGAGGAGCTGAAGCTGGTGGGGATGGCTACTTAACTAAGACAGAGAGAGGAGTGAGTCTTGCACTTCGCGCTTGTGCCCCCTAACCTATTAACCTCACCAAAGAATTATGGTGGTAGGTATGTATGTCCTTATTCCTGGAAAAAAGTAGAAGGATCTCACACACCATAGCTGTGTGTGTAAATGTGGATAAATGTTGCTTTTTAATGGCAACCAAGTACACAAAAATGAAATATTGATGATCTTGGCTCACAACTACTTTTCCTTTCTAAATGCCTTCTGTCACCAGAAGACACTTTTAAATAATGTTGAATTTTTCTAGATACTATAGAAATATCGCTGTTAAACTATTCATGTGTACCTTATTTATATTGATAGGTACACCTCTACCCCGATATAACGGTGTCCTTGGGAGCCAAAAAATCTTACCATGTTACAGGTGAAACCGTGTTATATCGAACTTGCTTTGATCCACCGGAGTGCGCAGCCCTGCCCCCCCTGGAGTGGTGCTTTACCGCGTTATATCCAAATTTGTGTTATATTGGGGTAGAGGTGTATGTTTCTTTTAAACTGCTTGTTTACCCGTTTCGGCTTGTCATGTTTTCTTGTGCATATGGTTTGCTTATGACTACTCCATGAGTCACTTCAGCTGCGTGCCTAAAACTTGAAGCATATTCCTAGATTACTCTCTTGATTTGATTAGTTGAGGCATCCCTACACAACAATATCTCAGCAGTCCATAGTATAAAAAATAATTCAAGGCTGTAACGTAATGCCTATAACCAAAAATAATGTTCATTTGATTACCACATGTAAAGTGTTTGAATTACACACATTCTACTCAGAGTATCCTAAATTTCCTTGTTGCAGTATAATTTTTAAAAATCCTATGAATGTAGTTTTAATGTAATTTGTCTATAAATAAAGATGACTGAGTTGAATTTCAATAGCTTCTAGAATTAAGTCACCAAAGACTACAATTAAATCCCTCATGTTTGAGCATCAAAATTTAAACTACCTTTTTATATAATCTTGGCGTTAGAACTAGTTACAGGAACTTGCAACATATGCTTCAGGTTATCTTCTACCTTCTACTTCCCTTGTGCATTTATACTTTCCCTTGTTCTGGGTAGCCCAATTGTTATGAGTGACTAATAGGTTCCCAGAGAAGGAATATAGCTCAAGGGCTGAAAACAGGCGAGAAGACATTGAGAGTCTACTCTGAAAAGTGACTGTGGAGTTTGGCATTGTGGGGTTTCTTGTTTGTGGGAATGACTTCAGATAAAATGAGCAGCCCAATTCTGAGGTGCAATTCAAATGGAAGTAAAACAGAAAGTTAGTTTTAACTGCAGTCCATAAATGTCAGTCCTGTTTAAGTGTCAAGTTGGGTTCTTTCTTTATCTCGCGTCACTTGTATGAAGATTATACACCCAGTTGTAAACCTGTGCAACCTTAATGTCTGCCACTTATCTCCTCAGTGGTGACTTTTCAGTCCTGCTGCCTTCAGTGGATTTGTGCACTTCTGTATGATTAGATTTTAGTAGACAAGTTTGTAGATCCACAAGGAGATGCATTCACTTTCCTGTAGCTCTGTTGGTTCTGGTTTTGCATCATCTGTTGAATCAAAGCTAGAGTTTAGAGAGAAACTATTGCCACTGCTAAAAAGGATGGACTACTATCCTAAACAAAGTCCGTCTTCATGGCAAGTGTACAGCTGGAGCTGACTGTGCTGTCACAGTTTTATTGGGAGTCTCATTTGTGGGCCATCCTCCGAAAACAATTGATGCCCCACATTCTAGAAGGTACAGTGATAGACTTCCTATTGTTCTATGCATGAAAGTGTCTCCCCAAGTTGTTGATCCTTTGAGAACTAAGGAAGTTCCTGTCTGTTTTGCATTACAAATAAACCGCAGGAATTTGGCTAATATACAGTATCTTGAGAACAAATTCCCGTGCCTTTGTTTTTATAGTTTGGCTAGTTAATTTGGGGGTGTTGCAGCTGTTCAATAGTTGAAGACAGGTCTAAATGTCTTACACACATTCTGTGTGATGGTTAGTAACTGTACAGCCAACTGAAGATCAGCCAACCACTTTGTTCCATTGCATACCCCTGTGGGCCAGAGAGATTATGGCAAAGGATGCCTGCTTATAGGCGCTGAACCAGAAGAGGGTTGAATTATGTTGCAATGCTAGGGTCCTGGTAGTGCAGTGGAGACATATTTTTAATCTCTGTATAACAAATTTCAGTTTTTAGAATAGAAAAAGCATGGGTGGGGATAGCCAAGACAGAAGTCATTGAGAATCTTAGTGACTTAATTGGGCCCAGTCCTCTTTCCTCCTCCCCATCAACAATGCTGTATCTTCTTGCCTACTTTCCTTGTTTAACCCATCTTTGTGCCCCAATGACCACATCACATCCCTCATATTTTTCCTTAGTCTCTTGATACATTAGTTGCCTCCTTTATAGTAAAACATGGCTTTTCTCAATCCTAAAAAAGTTCGTTCACCTCACATCCCACTCCACTATTGCTTATCCTTATTTCTCCTTTACTTCTCTGAACTTAGGTTGTACCACTTACAACTTAGCCATCAGTTCCTTTTGTCAAACTGTCCTGGCTTTTGCCTTATGCACTTCACTGAGTAAACCGCTTTCCCTGAGGTCTTGAATGACATTCTCTTGGCCAAATCTCATGGCTTCTGCTTTATCCTTCCTTGACATGTAGGTTGCTTTTGACACTGCTGATAATGCCATGGTTCTTGAAATCTTGTCCTCCACTTAGCTCTTGCAACTACATCTTCCTCTGGTGGCTTTCCTCTTACTACTTTGATATCTTCTGTGCCTTCTCTTTCCATGAGGGTCTTAAAGGACTTTGTTATTGACCCATTCTTCTTTTCCTTTTACCATTTCATGAAGTAACATTCAGCTTCTCCTGCCAACATAGCTACTGTTTCTTGTGGAGATGGAATTAAGCTGACGGGCTCTCTCCCTTCAGCTTATAGCATCTTCAC